CGATGTGGGACTATTTGTTCATGACATTCTTTTTCATCCAATCACGTGACGCCCTCGTCACGGATCGGCTCCACCGAGGGTTCCACTGGACCATGGATAGTTCACACATCTGACAGGCAGTAAGCTGCTCTGACACCACTTGCCCAAAAGAGCTCTTAGGGGTGGTGGGCAGCCCAGGGATGTGAGACTTTTTGTCTGTGACATTCTCCTCCACCCAATCACGTGACGTCATCATCACCGATCAGCTCCACCGAGAGTCCCACTGGACCATGGAGAGTCCACACACCTGACAGGCAGTAATCTGCTCTAATACTACTTGTCACCTCCCAAAAGAGCTCTTAAGAGAGGTCACCACCAAGGGTCTCACTTGACCATGGAGAGTCCACACACCTGACAGACAGTAAGCTGCTCTGATACCACTTGTCACCTTTCAAAAGAGCCCTTAAGGGTGGTAGGTAGCCCAAGACTTAAATACTGTTTTTCGGTATTACACCTAATCAGTGTGAGACTTTTTATTCGTGCATGTAGCTGATGTGCGGATTTGGAATTTCAATATGTAACAATTTTTTATATAATTGGTATGGCTATTATTTATTATTATTATTATTTCACTGCTCTGGTGTGGGAACTCTTCTCTTCCCTCTCCCTCTTTCTACAATCCACTCTAGCTTCCTCTCATTCCCCATCTCCAAATCTATCCCTCTCCTACTCCTTTCCTGACTTCCTCCTCTCCCCCTTACTTCAAAACCCATTTTTTCCTTCTGAAAATCTCCCAAAAATCAAACAAAAAAATTCAACCTTTTCCTCAATCTTCTCGTCCTAATTTCCTTCAATCATGGCGGGCCTAGATCTCGGCACCTCCTCCCACTTCCCCCACCCCCTTCACCATCCCCTCCACCCCTACACTCCCACCTCCTCCACCCCCAACAACCCCCACGAAACCCCTTCCCTCTCCGCCGCCTTAGACCTCATCGCCTCCGGCGAACTCAGGGCCTCAAGACCCCGCGGACGCCCGCCTGGCTCCAACACCCCCAACAACTCCGACGAAACCCCTTCCCTCTCCGCCGCCTTAGACCTCATCTCCTCCGGCGAACTCATGGCCTCAAGACCCCGCGGACGCCCGCCTGGCTCCAAGAACAAAACCAAACCCCCCATCATCATCACCCGCGAGAGTGCCAACTGTTTCCGCGCACACATCTTCGAGATCTCCGCCGGCGGCGATATCTTTGAAATCCTCACAAATTACACCCGCCGCCGTCAGTGCGGCATCTATGTCCTCAGCGGGAGCGGTACAGTCGCCAACGTCAACCTCCGGCAGCCCGGCGGCGGCTCCGGTGGTGCAGTGGTCGCTCTACACGGTCTTTTCGACATCTTATCTCTTTCGGGATCCTTTCTTCCGGCGCCGGCGCCTTCAGGCGCCACCACTCTTACCGTATTTCTCGCCGGAGAGCAAGGGCAGGTGGTCGGGGGGAGTGTAGTGGGAACGTTGATTGCCAGGGGGCCGGTGATAGTTATATCGGCTTCGTTCACGAATGTAGCGTATGAGAGGCTGCCAGTTGAGGAGGAGGAGGCGCCGCCGCGGAAGGAGGTGGCCGGAGGATACGAGGAAGGCGGCGGCGGCGGCGGGGGGGTTGTAGAGGAGGGGGGGGGGGGGCGGCGGATTGCGGTTTTTCGACTTACCGTTAAGTTTGGAGAGTTTACCGTTTTCAACACGAGGTTAGAGGTCGGAATTAAGAAGAGTTTTGGGTAGTTTTTTATTTATTTTGGATTCCGGACTGTCCCCCTACTTCTATATGGCAATTTAGGGACTGTTTGAGGCAGCTTATAAGTGCGGGCGGCGTTTTGTCGTACCGTTTGATTCACGTGTTTCATCAGCTTATCTAAAACTGCGTTTGGATTTTTACATTAAACGCAAGTCACGAGTCAACCCCGACGGACCGCGTTTCAGGATCAGCAGCTTATCCTGACAAACTGTTTCAAAAGGACTCTTAATTTATTATTGCCTGTTAGAATCTTATTGTCTCTTTTTTTTTTTAAGAAAAAATAGTTATATTTATAAATCTTACCATATTATTATAAGAAATTATTTTCATCATGACTTTATAATCATCTTTTGAAAAAGTTATAGTCAGCTCAAACATGCCCTTAATTAATTAGCCGCATATATCACTTGAACTATGGTTCTAAAAGTACATGAAATTAACCTAGATTTATTTCAATTTTTTTTATTAAAAATAAATTTAAATTAATAAATCATAGCCAAGATAATTGAAAGAGCTGAATCCAATAATATTAATTCTAGAAATCCCATTATATTACTTTTCATATTGAGAATTAATATATATATATATATATATATATATATATATATATAAATCAATTTTATTGTAATGAGATGGTAATCTAATAGTTGGCCATTTACTTCTCTAAGAAAAGGTCTCATGCTTGAAGCTCCAACCTCCAAAAAAATAAATAAATAAATAAATAAAATAAAATACTTGTGGCATGGCATCAACAACTAAAATGAGTTTAATGCATAATAAAAAAGAAAATTTTGCTTGATATATCCAATGCAATTAATATGAGAGAAATAACTTGTACTTCATAGTCATTATTTGCAACCTATATATTGGTTGAAATTTGCAAAACTTATAATACAAAAATTTGGAATCAGTTTGTGCGATTATAGAATCTAAATGGCATAAAAGGCCGTGAAATATACTGATTGTCGCATTGATGATATGGACATTTTTATCTAATGTCATGGTCTATAATATTCATTTTTTATGAGAAAATGAGAAACTCTTACTACATTTTTGATAAAAATTAGTAGAGAAATTATCACCATTGTCTTAATAATGATAGATTTATGCATGATCATTGTTCATATTTCTTACATAAATTAAATAAAATAATTAAGATATCAGAGGTCATTAAATAAGATATCAGCGATAGTGGCAACCTCAAAGCTAGAGAGTATATATTCCCCAATCAATGAGTTGGAGGAGAGCTAGAATGTGATCATCTATGGGAAGGCAATGACAAGTTAAAGATCTACAATCAATTTCCATTAGAGAAAAAAAAAGGAGAAGAGAGCATATATGAACCTTTATATTCTTGATGGAGAACCTATAAAAACACTAAAAACAATATTTTTTTATGAAAAAAGTAGATGAGAGGAGGAGAAATGAGGCTAGCATTATTGCATGAAGTCCCAACATTGTATGAATCACCTAAGTACTAGAACAACAAAATGAGAAGGTATGGTAGATGGTTGGGCATTAACAATTTATATTGAGAATCAAGTAATAGACGTTGCAAACAAACATAGCTCCAATAATGAATCTATTATCGATCAATCACCTCTAATTAACCCTTGCATAATCCATCCCATAAAGCTAGCAAATTTTGTCACTTTCTTAAATGACTAGGGAGCAATTTTATTTGATTGATTTAGGCTGTTGAATTTAGTAGATCATGTCATAAAGGATGATATGTCACTCTTAAAATTTATAAATAAAAGCACAATATAATCAATCAACACTCACCTAAATTACAACTCTATTAAGTGCGCTGATAAATAAAGTTAGTCACTGTTGGTCATGGGGTTGGTACTGTATTTAGCAATGCTAATTAGCACTGAATATATGCCTCTAAGTTTAATATTATTTTGTCCATCTTATTCATGGATTGCCTTTTTGGCCTATTTCATGAAAACATGTGACATATTTATATATTACTTTTTGTATAAAATATTTAATAAACAAACAAAGAACCAAAATTACATGCAAAAATATCCAAAATATTTTTAAAGACGGTTTGTTTTGTTGAAAGAGAATACATTGTAAATGAAATACAAATATAAAAATAATGTATTGCATTTTGAATTGTTTGATTTGTTAAAAAAATAATGTAATGTAAAATGAATTTATTATAAAAGTAATTTATTGTATTTAAAATGCTTTAGAGTTGTTTGGTTCCTTATAAATTAAACGAGGGAATTTTTTTTTTTTTGTTGAATTTACAGTAAATTGAAAACAAAATAGTTAAAAAAATATAACATATTATTTGTGGGTGGCGGGCCACATTCAGCGGCAACGATTGATAATTGCCTTCGACGGTAACGAGACCAGCAGCAGCGGCGGGCAATAGTGATTATATATATATATATATATATATATATATA